TCCTGCAGGTCCTTGTCTTGGAGCCTCAGCTTTTGACGATCTTCTCCTCCCTTTTCCTCCGCCGCGCTCTTTCCCTGCTTCGTGTTTTTCTTGTAGCTTTCACTGCCTCCGACATCCACCCACTGGAAAGTTTATTCATTTTCAGAACCATTTTAATGGTAGATAAAGGACTATGCTGACATAGGCCGCATGTAGGATAAACAGCTGTTGATTTCCATCCATTTAACTCATGTTCTAATGAAATTGTATATTGTTACACTTGTCGAAAGAAGAGATATTTTGATATGGAGAGGTATACAATTTCCATTGTTGTTCCCAGTCAAAATGGCAGAAATGACCTACCTCAGGTGCAGCTTGCATTATGTTGGGGTTGACCAGGTCTCCGAGGGTCTGCCTTCCACCTTGTCTCGAAAACATTGGGGATTTTGAAGGAGAGTCGCTGTTCATAGCCCTGAGGGTCTCATCCAACCTAATTTGCATGTCACAAGGATGAGGAGTTTAGCACGATGAAAAATCTACCATTGCAACGTTGATTCAACGGGTGTGAGATCATCTTACTTGTCGTAGTAGTCGTTGAGGTTGTTTCCTTCATCAAGCACTTTTCTACCAGCAAAGTCCAGCGTGATCTTCCTATCCTTGCGAGAGGCATGGCGAAGGTCTCTCAGCTCCTCTTCCTTCTTCCTCAGCTTTTCTCTCTCATTGGGTGACAACCACTGATTGGATTCAGTGGCAAAGTAATCCGACTCATCATCCAGAACCTGTGTTCTCTTCACACTGGAGTTAAAAGGGGCAATACATAAATCATTTAGTTTTATCAGAAAGTTTCCTGATTACATTCTGTAGTAATTGATATCTCCATTTAAAGTGTGGACATTGCACAACAAACAGTAAACACATCTATTACTGTGAAGTTATTTCCTTGATTTAGTGTTTATAATACCTGTTCTTATCATATTCCAGCAGTTTGTCCTTGTGCTGGACAGCTTTTTCCAAGCCAGCCTTCATCTTGGCCTCTTGGTTTGGTAGATAATCTCTTTCTCCACCATCTGTCATCAATTAAAAAAACAAATGTAAAGCATTAATCCACGTCATTGTTTCACAGATTTTATTATTTAATAATACAGACTATTTTTGTCTCTTACCTCCCATAAGCTTCTTTCTTAGCTTCTGGCTTTTGTTGGAGTCTCGTTGCAGGATCTCCTGCTCCTCTCTTGTGCACACCTGAATCAGAGAAAAGCGCTTTTAGCAACACGAGTACCTCAAAAAATAAATGAATAATATATATATAAATTGAAGGACCTATACATACCAGGCTTCCACAGAAGAGGCAGGGTCCAGAGCCCTCTTGGTCACATACAATGCGACCACAGCTGATGCAGTTATTGATAAGATTGTGCTTTTGGGCGAGGCACTCACAAGCATGTCGACCTGGGAACAAGATGGACATCTTGTCTTGCCCCTCTTTAGCATAGAGATTGACAAACTTACTCTTCTTCTTTGTTGAGGATGAACTTGTGTTTTCCTGGGCCTGATGTCAAAAGAAATGAGAAGAGGGAACAAAATTAGATCAAATAAATAGATGGGGTGGACAAATTAGCACACATCAAAAAGGAAATGGAACCTTTACAAATGTCGTATGTCGTTTTTTTTTAACTCAAACTAGGAAAATGACATCATAAAGTAGGGGTTAAAATAACAAATACTTAGGGTTGTGTGAACTCACCCTCATCAGATCAATGGGGGTTTTCACTGCCTCTGGCTCAGGCTCTGATTGGCTCACAGCCATTACTTCCTGTTTGTTACGGCCCTTGCGTTTAGACTTTTTCAGGGAGTCTTTGCTCATGTCCTGTGAATCTAGGAAAGTAGAGCAAATTACAGATAGCATGTTTGAAATGTAATATCCCAGTTAATATATTTTCATTCGTAAAAGTATTATTCATTATTTACAACGATTAGTAGAGTAAGTAGTATTAGAGAGTTCCATAGAAGGTTGTTTAGCATTGGAGAATATTTATGTACAATAAACATCAAAATAGATGAAAGACATCCAACTTTTGGGCCTACCTGGAGATGATAAAGTTTCCTTGAGATGGAAAAGACTTGAGCTATCTGTGGTCTGTCTCTGAGTCTTCATCCATCTGCTGACGAACTCATCTATGAACAGTCCTTTCCTCCCATCTGTGCCCTGCAGGAGGTCTCCCATATAATCCTTAATCTCCTCAGCATTTTCGATGGATAGAACATATCTAGACAGCAGGATAACACAATTACCATTTAATGTAATAACATTTAGGTCATGTTATATGCAAGCTATTGAAGATATTCAGTAAGTGTACACTACTTGTCAAAAGTACTGATATACGATTCCACATTGACTTGGGGTCATCAGCTCATTAGCTGGTATAAAAGCTAGAAATAAAAAAAATGGTTGTGTGCTCCGTGTCTACCGTAGTAATACAATGATGCATTGATTTGGAGTCATGTGTGCAAAAGCTGTTGTTAGAAATCAATATGTATTAAAATACAACCCTTTTTTTTAAAATAAAAATATTGAAGAAAAGATATTTAGAAGTAGGACTCAAGTTAAGTTCAAATAAAAAAGGTGTGTCCTACTGTAGTAATAATACCTGGTATGCATTTGGAGCCACTGGGATTTGACATGATTTGAAAGCTATTTTAAAAATAAATAAAACTATTTATTTTGTATTATCAGTCATCAAATGAGGTTTGTGTCATAAGACTTATTTATTATACAAATGTTTTCAATATTGTTCACTAACATTTTAATAATAACATTATTGTTGGTCCCTGAAACTACTTTAAAATGATTTATTTATTTACCTAATATATCATATTTCAATGACTTTCATAGACTCTTATTGCACTCTTTCACTTTTTAAACAATTTGTCTTCTTGTATTTACTATTTACTATCACTATATGTTTCTGTTTATCTGTGTTTTGTGTTGCACTGTTGGAGAAGCCTGTGACACAAGATGTTCATCGACATAACTACACTGTAGCTATGTTCGTTTGACAAATAAAGAACCTTGGAAAGAACCCTGTGTTAAAAAGCGAGGGCTCTGATGTGAGCTTACTGTTCAATTAAATTCAAATAGCTTTATTAGCATGACCATGATGACATACAGTACTGCCAAAGCCTTGTACAATTGCGACATCTATAAATAAATATACATTATACATATAATGTTAAATTCATAAACATTTTTAAACAAATACGACATCCTGTTACAAAATGTAAGTATTTTGTAAATGGCGTAATCTTTTTAATCTTTAATATTGTTTATGCATGTTTTTTGGTTATTATTAAGCTGTCTTTGGCTCTATACTTGCTGTAACAAAGGCAAATGTCTCTGTGGGAAGAATACAATTATTCTGATTCTGTTTCTGATTCATGTTTTCTTTACAAGGAAAACAATATACCTTTTGAACATGAACTAAGAAAATACAAATAAAAAACACATGACTGCTCTGAAACTGAGGAAGAAGACGCTGGTGAATGTCTGTCAGATATCCAACCTAAAACAAGCTTCTCTTGAAAGTGTGATTTATATTAAATAAAGCCAGACAAGGTAGTGAATGTAAGCACCGGTTATCCGCTAGCCAACAGATAGCTTATACACCTGTCAAACTCTTTACCGGCTACTGTAACAGCTGTAGGCTCAAATGTATCAAAGGAAAGCGGTAGATGTATTTAACACACACATAACTTTGGATAAGCCCCTGACAACACATTGTATGTTATCAAAAAGCAAAGGTAAAACAGCACTAGCAAGCTAGCTGTCATTTCATCTCGGACTCTGGACAGATGCTAGCTGGTTGCCTGTCAGTCTTTAACAGAGTATTCTAACCAGAGATAACTTACTGGACGATGTCTTCACATGCCTCCAGCCCGAACTTGTGGTGTAGCTGGTTCACACACCACTGCAATAATGCCTCCGACATCTTTAACTGAAATACTTTACAGTCAAAGCTCACACCAAAGTTGCGGTGGCTTGTCAAACACAAACTGACTGTGTGTTTCCAGTCGACGACATAACAGAGGCGCACACATTGAAAGTAAGTGCGTGGCAGCAGTTAATTTCTTCCGGGGAAAGAAACCCGTGCTGGGTTAAGGTTCCTCTCAACTAGTATGATTTATCAAACATCAATAATGAGCTGTTGTGTTGAATCTATTACATGACATAATCACCCAAATGTCAAATAAATGAATTATAAATAAATGCTTGAGGAATTTTCTTTGAAATATTTTTTTTTAGGTGCTCCTTATTTTGTTTTTCTTTTGTTATTATGTATGCCTAATAATTAACAAAATACATGTTTTATTTTTGTTAATAAAATCTAATATATCATTGTTTTCCTATTTATTTTGCATGTGTATATTGGATTTCATGTTTTGCCTAATGTATTCTGTGCACAATTCTTTAATATGTGATCAATACAAATGAAATTAAATATATATATTTTAATTTTAAGTTACACTCAGTTTTTCACATTTTAATATATATATATATATATAAGTGGATATATGTGATAACATGTAATTGGGTGTACCTGTTAAGGTCAGACACTAGATGGCAGTTTTGTAACTTGTAAATAAATGCAGGTACCTTCAGTTATAACTTTTAAAAAAAACATTATTTACCAAAGTAAATAATATGCTTACTCTATAATAAGGTGGTGTTTACTAAATAGCCATATCCTTATTTATTGTGTTGGAAAGTAGGTAACATCTGTACAGCAATAAAAACCTTTTTTATATGTGGTCCCTATCTTCAAATAGAAAAAATACATTTATGTGTTAAACTTCACAGTACACAAGTCCTAGATTTGACATAACATGAAAAAGCAGACTTGGCAGTGATAATTTATTTTTCTAAGAATGTTATAATAAAAATATGCAACACGCATTAAGTGAGACAAAGAAACAAGGTTATGCTTATGACAATATAACTTGTATTAATAGAAATCCAACTTACAACACATAACTGTTTTGCATATACAAGTACTCATATGATGCAACAAATATATTTCAATACAACATATATAGAGGTACTGTAGTAGATGTTCTGTTTAGTACACAGAGTAGATTTTAGTGAGATTAGATGCATTGTAAAGAACAATAGTATACAGGCAACATTACATAACACAAAACAATAGCATTCATTGTAAGTATTGTTTATTAGCAAATTACACCAGTTAAACAATGCTTAGTATCTTCATGTTAAAACAGTACAAGGGTGTTAAATGTAGATGTTTTCCTTTAATATGCCATTTGACTGTGTGATATAAAAGTCAAGCCGTAAATAGTTTTTATGCCATACAGTACATACACTTTGCCTAAATCCTTAAAGGTGGGGTAGGTAATTTTGGAGAAACCAGCTCGAGTGCGCTAGAATTTGAAAATACACAGCCCGGAAGAACTGACCAATCAGGGCACGAGATAAGTTTGTTTACAGATGGAAGGCTGACAGGCCTTCCTTTTTACAGCACTACGGATTCCACAGATGGCATTTTTTTATGGATTTTTTGTCAAAGCACTTAAGATATTCATTGCTATCGGGATGTTAAGAGCATTCCATGGAATATAACAAAAAGTGTATCTCGAGCCGGTTTCTCAAACTTACCTACCCCACCTTTAATTTTAACTTTGACATTTTGACTTTAAATTTGACTTTAATATTTGGTTAAATACAAGTACCAATTAACTTTCACTTATCCAAATCCTGCCCAATGAGTTTAAAAATGTCAATCTGTGATGAGGTAGATTGGTTTAGGCTTTTTTTTATAAAGCCCTTAATTGAAAAAATCTTTGGAAATGGCCTCTACAAAGTTGGGTGCTGACATGAGAATTCCAATGGTGCAGAGGATAGTGAACAGAGAGAACGCCATGAGACAAAGCCTGTCGATAACAGCCGCAGCAAATTTCCACTCGTTGCACACAGACTCGTCCTTGTCTTGGCTACGAAAGCGTTTGGCAATGTAGCACACTTCATCCAGGATCTTAGCCATCTCTGGTTCCAGGCAGCCTGCAGACGGGCCCTGACCTGCGGGGAGGAGAATATCCTCCTCACCAGTTCGGCCAACCAGCTGCCCGCAGAGGACTCCAGATTCAGCAGAGGTTGCAACTGTAGAGTAGTGGAGGCTTTCCAGGCCACGGATGCCAACACAGAGCAAGTTGCCATTGTTGGACTGGGAAGTGCTAGCATTGAGCTCCATGCTGGTCAGGCTGTTCCGTGGAGCCTTGTTGTGACAGGCTGAACGTACCCGCTCTTCACCCGGGCGCTTCATGCGTAGGAACCAGGCACACCAGTTCAGGAGAATTACACGGGTCTTTGGGATGAAACAGTAATGAATGAAAACATTTTTTAAAAATGGTTCTTGATAACTTGTGATAAATTAAGGATACATGCACCAAAGAACATACAAGTCTGTCCTCATCTTTCCTTCTACATGTATATTTCTTTGTGGGAACACACACGTTCACTATCACAGAAGCCCAATCAGCTCTTCATTTCACAGAGGTGATTCAGATAAAACCAAAACTTTTCCCAATCAGTCCAATCATAATGAAACAGTGATTATATCATTGCCCCAGATGAATGAAGTACACAACTTAAAATGTCTGGTAGTATAAAGTATATTAAATAGCACATGTTTGTGTTGTATCCTTCATTGATAGGAAACCATTTTTAAAAACACTATTTGTGAAGATTTGTGTTTATGTTTTCATACTTTCATAACTGGATAACACACTTTAGCTGCTAAAGTGTGTTATCCAAATATGCTAAAGTTTAGCATATTTGAACACCTAAACACCTCTCAGCACATTTCATGTTAAAAATACCATTTGGTTTACACTGTCCTACTCAAGCAAATGAATATGTATCCTAATGAACCACTGTAAGTGGACTTTAACCTAATAAAAAACTAAAGCAGCATAATCAAAGCTAATCTCGATAGTTTATCATAATGCACTCTACAGTTTTGGGGTGTGGCTTGATGGAAATGACTAAAGTGTTGTTAATGGGGTAGTATCATAGACTGTATATATAAAGGGTAGTATAGGTGACAGATAATTGTGTTATATGAAACGACACTCACCCACTTTGGCATCTTGGCTCCATCAGGGTCATGGTGGTGATATTGTAACACAATAACTGTAGCAATTACAGATAGACCAACAATGACCATGGTGGTGGCAAAGTACTGAGCTGGGGGAAAGAAAAAAAGAGGAGACAGTTAGAATTGATACAGAAACTTGTGTCATATGCAGGTAACATTATGTGAAAAAATAAGCAGGATAAAAAAAATGTTCAGTATGAGTTAAAGGGCTCACAGAGAGAAAAACTCCCATCTTGCCTCAAGCACACTTTTTGATGTTTCAGAGAAACTAAACAAATTTGCAATTCAATGTTTTAAATATGGCGCCTCTGATCTCTAAATAGAAAACATCCATGTGTTGGTTGGCTGCTTAAACGTACTTATACTGTGCCATTGGGAGAATTTCTGATGAAAAATGACTACACACATTTTCCCCAGTGTCTTTCCATTGACAGCAGATGACAATCATGGCCCCTGGCTTACCTATTAAAGGCACCGAGTCCGATGTGGCGGGCATAATCTCTGCAACCAGCAGCATAAAGACAGTCAGGGAGAGCAGGACCGTAATGCCTGGCAAGGAGAACAAATCTCAGTAAAAATTCATAATAAAACTATTAAATGTTTAGAGAAGCGTAAAAATCACACAGTAATGACATGGCTTTGTGATTCTTTGATGTTAAATGTCTGCACAAGTTGGATGTGGAAGGTCAGTCAAACGCACATCTCCATATTGTAAAATGATATTGTAAAAATATGCACAAGATTAAGTGTGCTGTTGCCAGATTTTCAATGTTATGTATACTAAACATTTTTTAAGTTTCCAGTTGTAATATACAGAGTTCCTATTTGATGTTTTCATTTTGTTCCTATTTTGCATAAAGTCCTCCAATATGTTCCATGTATTTGTGATGCTTCTCTTCCACAAATTGGGTACTGCACTGTAGCCAAATGTGACGGGGAAGCTTATATTGTGTCACAGTCGCTGACTACATCACCTGAGAAGGTTCAAGCACGGAGAGAAAATGGCTTTCTGTTAGAATACCTGTGAGCAGAGTTTTCTCTAATGAGCTGACATCGCTAAGCCACTGGCTCTTTGGATGTCTCACAATAAACCTGAACTTCTCAACAGGATTAAGTCACATCTTAATTAACTGTAGGAATGCCGATGTACATTAGACATCTCTGGGGAAGAAAACTGCCTATATTTTCTTATATTCTTATATCTTTAAAGAAAAATTGGAGCATGTGAATCCTTTTAAATTTGTATAACCGGTATACTGTAAATATCATATCGAATTATGTATATAGAAGAGAATAACAGTTAGTCATAGTTAACCTAAATAAAACAAATTATTGTTGTTCTCAGTTGTCCAGCTAGAGCGGGATCCACCACAGCCTGCGATGGTGTGAGGAGCGGAAAATAGAGCCCCTATCTTGTGAATTGGGATCTATTTGATCGTACTTACAGTTACTGGTGGACAGAGGGCTTGCTCATTCCACAGTGAAAGTGTATGCAGCAGCCATCTCGTCCTGCCATGAGGGATTTGGCGGCAGGTCAGCCTTTTCTCAGCCACTAATGTCGCGGTTTTTGCGAGGGGTGAGGAGGCTGCGCCCAGTAGTGCGCGCCTCCGCCCCGCAGTGGGACCTGCCGCTGGTGCTCGAGACTCTGGTCACAGGACCATTTGAGCCTCTGGAGCTCTCCTCCCTGAAAGCACTGTTGTGGAAGACATACATTGCTACTTGCCTTAACGTCAGCCAAAAGAGTGTCTGAGTTAACCGCTTTATCGGTGCACCCGAGTTGTTTAATGATCCGGGGTGACAAGAGCGGGGCGACACTCAGACCGAACTCCTCCTTCGTGCCCAAGAGCCTAAGGATTGCGTTCAGGTCGAGGGCTATTCAGTTGGGGGGCTTTAATCTTCCACCCCATAGTGGGGCGAGGGAGGCTAAATTACACCTCCTCTGCCCGGTGAGTGTGCTGACATAGGCTATTATGTGGAGCCCACGGCTGCCCTTAGACACGCGGAACAGCTGTTTGTGTGCTTCGGGGGTGGGGTAACGGGAAAAGCCCTGTCCAATAAACGCCTGGCAGGCTGGCTCTGCGAGTGCATTGCACATGCCTACGGACAGGCGGGGAGAGCCTTCCCCACGGGGGTCCGTGCACACTCTACACGAGCTATGGCTGTGTCAACAGCCTTATTTAACGGCGTGAGTGTGGAGTATGTTATGGCAGAATCTTTATTACAGCGTATTTCTGGCATATTCATTAAGGCAACATGGTATAAGCTATATGATGTGTGTTACTGTGTTGGGTCACACAGAGTTAGAGAGACAATGGTCGTTCTGAATTATCAATAGATGTATTCATTTTAAGTGAGTGAGTTAGAGGAAATTCAGAGAAGGCCAGAGGTTATAAAAACAGTTAACCTTTGTTAGTTGACTAGCCTACTCCTAAAGGATGTCATGAGATAAGTAAACTTTCGACATCTGGAACATATAGTATAGCATTCAGAGGCAGAACATGTGATGTTGTGTGTTAGTTAATGTAAGGAAAATGAGAGTGCGTCATTTTAGAATCCTATATCCTCCTGAGACCCGAGGAAAAAAAGTGTCTTCCAATTTCCTTTTTTTTGTGATTTCCTACCTATTTAGGGTTAAAAAAACATCTTGCAATTTAGAGTTTTTATTTTTATTTTATTTTAAAATGTTACAGTATGTCCACTGTAGAGGACGTCGGGACCATATTAGTTTGAAAAGACAGCCAAAATTAACAGATGGACTATGTAACGTATTATGGTTATAGAGTGATATTAATACAATAATACATTCACCTTTATTTAAAACATGAATAAGTAATTGCTCTGAACATTGCTGTTTATTTGGTCACTAAAAAACTAGCTTGTTTTTTGGTGAATCTTTCCAGATCTTCAAAGACTTTGTAGTCAATGTAGTGGGAAAGTACCTCATTGACTCCAGTCGGCACGGGCTGTAGGGTCATCTTGACTAGTTTTATGGATGTGGTCTCCATTTGACCATGCTCATAGAAACAAAGCTTGCATTCCTGAGGCAATTCTCATGTTTCATGGCTCCACTTAAAATAAAAACAACAATAAGACATACGTGCTACTCTTGGCCCACAGTGGGCCATGTCTTTCCAGCTTGTCCCTATCTGTCTCTATGTATATCTGTGCGCTCATGGAGCATCCTGCATCTTTCCCCCCCTTCTTCTTGACCCTCTTCTATCCCAGGTGTGAAAGCCTCATCTCTCTCATCATCTGAGAGATCAAAATCTTAATCACCCTGAACTATCTGGTAAAGAAAATGTCTGCTTCAGTTCCGTCTCCTGCAACAATATTGAGTCATAAAGTCCATGAAGATAGTCCTGACGTCCACTAGAATGGACAAGGACATTTATAAAAGGGCTGTTATTTGAAAACTTGAATTATTTAATTGCTTTCAGAACTAATTATATAGTTCCTCACATGTTAATTAACATATAACATATACGATTTTCATGGTAAAAATGACAATTATTCAACAATATTTGACTTATCCTCCTGCTTCTATACAATTTTGTTTTTCGTATGCCAGCCATTTTGGATGAAAAGAAAGAGGAACTTCCCAGCATGCAATTTTAACCAATGACATATCACTGGAAAGACCAGGATGTCCTCTGTACAGCACATCAGGGTTTGATAGAGTAGCTCAAAAGAGTAAACGGAGATGCATGTTAACAAAATGTCCACTACAGTGGACATTTTCAATGGGCTGGGTCCCAGGAGGATATATGTCTCTGTAAAGTTATACTGGGTTGGAGCATTGCTGTAGGACTGCTTGAGAGCAGAGGTAATGTTTTCCTCGTAGTCAGGGGCGGCGGGTGTTGTAGGCTAGGGAAGGCTAAGCCTTCCCAAATATTTGTGTAACTGCATCCTGGTAAAATAAAAATATAATGTCTTTGACATTAGCGCTGCTACAGTATGCAGCCACCTGTGCCCTGTACCACGAAGCCAGTTCAACAGACCCTGGATATGTTTGAGTTATCTTAACTAACCCTAACAAACGAGATCTCGCTAAGCGGTCCTACGGCGCTGGTTATCAACTCGGTAAATCAAGCCAGGGTTTCTCTCTCCAGCTGGGAACGCGTTCACGTGAAAGGGGCGGGGTTAGCTACATTTGACCAATTACAAACAGGGACAAGTGTACTGACAGCGCAACATCATACTTCATTAATGAAAAGTAAACTAATATTAGACAAATATGAACTTTAAACATTCATGATGACTTAAACATATAATCCAGGATACAAGCCACATACTGTAGTTGCTCCTGCAAGGAGAATACAGAACAACTCGTTAAAAAATAAACTACCGAGTGTTTGAAAGCGTACAACAGTTTTATGATACTGCCCCATCTAAAACACGAGGGGATCGGACTTTATTACATTTGAGTTGAGTGTTTCGTCAACTTAATGTGTTGCTTAAAACAATACGTCTGCATACAGAATATGTGACAATGTAACTAAGTGTTGCACGGCCAGATACGGCTCGAGAAGCTGATAAGGAAATATTGTGATATCGATGTGAGATCGATGATCTGATTGATGATGTGATGTCAGTGTTATATGAATGATAAGTGCGACACATCGGCGTCTTCTCTGCATACGGCAGTTCAAACTGCATTTCCTTGTTCCTGTAATATGACTTGATAGATTTAAACTCCGCACACTGAGCTCTGATCGGTCAGCAGGCGGTGCTTTCACTGAATTGATCTCTTTTCTATAGACGCCGGAGGCGGGCAGCGTAAGATGAAAAAAAAAGTTATTTAGCCTTCCCAAACCTGAGCCTCACGCGCCGCCTATGCCAACCCAGTCTCGTAAAAAACGTGTAATAACTACGTTGGTCCACAACGTAGGATGTAGTATTTCTACAAAAACGCCTCTGAAATTGTAAGATCCCTACGTTTTTTTTCACCATTCATTCCAATGGCAGGCGTCTATGTCACGTGATCTTCAAATTTCTCCCTGCAGAAAAAAAAAACATGGCCAAACTTCGTTTTATTCTCGGTGTAAAATGCCTATTTTAAAGTTAGTTTGGTCATTAAAATGCGTTTTGATGTCATTTGATGCGAGAAATATGAGTTGTTATTTCAGATTATGTGTGCAGTGGATGTAGCCTACATGATCTTTAGTTTGCTAGTTATTACGAAGATTACTTCAGGAAATTGTGTTGATACAACGTTTTCATTGTTACCAAGGTGGTTGCTAGTGACGCTGCTATCGATATTATTTCTGTTATGTTGTGTAACAGTTTAATGGTGTAATCTTTATTGCTACCCCCTTCCCCGTCAATGTATAGTGTAAACGTATTAGTTTAACAAAATCCGCATCTAAAATTGTGGCATAGATATGTTATTTTCCCCTGTGCAATTCCAGTCTCACATCTCACAGCACATTCTTTCACACACACATACGGGTATTGGGCCGAGCGCGACACCGTACTTCCGGTCTGCGCCGTTTTACGCGAGGTGCAAGCAGCCGTACACCGTCTAGGTGTTGCTAAGCTTCCTGTACTGA